CCGCACTGTGAGGCTCCATGGCTGGACCAGAGTCATTGGAACTGGGCCTGCTTGATGTCGTACTTAATTACTGTGATTGAGTATCACTGTTGGGAATCTGCACATGCAAATTCCTGAGACACACTTATGTCATGTGAACTTTGGAATGCTGACTTCAGAAGTAGATTCAGCAGGCAGCTGCATGGGGATATATTGAAATCATTATTAAAATAAACACACTGAAGTTATTTATGCATGCTAAGAATAACAACCTTTGCATTTTTTATGAAACTATTTGTGTATGTGTCGAGGTATTTTCTTTCAAAAGGTTTTTACTACTTTCAGAATACCATATTTTTTAATTTTAAAAAAATGTAACATGATGCTTCTTTTTTGAAGACACGTTTTTGTTTTGTTTTTTTCTTCCAAACAGTGAAGGAGAACAGGGTCCAAATGGTAGCCAGAACTCTAGTTATAGCCAATCTTAAGACATTCCAAAGAATTTCTCTATGGACCACTTTGACTCAAGACATCCTGGGATCTTTCCTGTGTTCATGAAATGGACAGAAGGTTTTCGTAACATCTCTGACAAAGAACTTGAAGAATAAATAGCTTGTTTGTGTCAAGCATTTTGAAAGCTTTTCCTCTAAAACCGCATCATTTTCTCTGACGCTGGAGCAAATGTACTAAGATTTTTTCAGTGTAAGGAATCAAATGTTAAACCAAGCTGCAAAAGATTAACACTATCCACTCAAAAGTTCATTATCGGTTTTGTTTGCTTTGATAAAATTGTAACTTGCCATTGAAGTGAACTATTTTAAAAGCAACAGTAACCTGAAGCCTGAGTGTAACTGTATTAATGACATGTCTTCATTTTGTTTGTGACTGAAGGAAGATAGTGCACTGTATGTTAAATCTATTCATTACCTTGAGTTTTGTTAATTTTTTTAACATAAATATGGATTCTGTAACAAGTAACAGCAATCCATCAGAAATAAAGCCTAGAAGAGCCTGCAAAGAATATTGTTACAGTTTGAATGAAAGCTGCAGGAAAGAAATTCAGTTCCTTTTTTGGATTAGAAAAATGCTGTTTTACTCAGTAGATGTACTTGGATGTTTTTGCCATGAAGCATAGTAGCCCAGCTTGCCAGAGAAGTGCAATATGTATAGTGATTCTGCAGTTTTCTTAAACATTTCAAGTGTTAGGAATTTTAAAAACCCAACATACTTTTTTTTTTTTTTGCAAGTAAATGTACTGTGTAGTACAATTGGAATATTTCATAGTCAAGTACAAATCTGGATATGATTGCTGGTTTTTATGGTGGATTTTCTGTTTGTACAAGAGATATACACTGTTAGTCTGCCTTCACTGTTAGTGTGAATTTGTGTGGTTCATTAGAGAGTTTATTTAAGAGGATCAAGCTTTTGGTGAGCTTCATACTGGCTAATTTTAATTGTGATATTAGGAGCAACTCTTTAGAATAACTGAAATGGGATTCCTTGGTTAACTATGTGCTGGAGAAAATGAGATTCCTTCAAACAGAAGGCCATATCCTGTGTTCCTTACTCAGGCAGATATCCCATTGAAGTCAGGAAGTGGCCTAAATTGAATTTCTTGATTTTTAGATAATTTTGTTTCTAAGTGAGTTCTGTACAACTTCATTTTGAATGATAATGCCAACTTGCCCAAGTATAAAAATTGAATGATAAAATGAAGTGCGGTAACATTGTTCATTTTTTTTCCTGAAGCAACACATTTCACTGGTTTGAAATATTGGAGGGAAATTCTTGAAAACCCATGCTCTATGATGCGTCTTTGTTCAAAAAATTGGCCCCTTACAAAACCCCTGTTTTTGCAAATACCTGTCTTTGTAATTGGCTGGTTATTCAGTGAAATATACCTGAAGTGTGTTTCTATGTAGCCCATTAGGCTACTAGCATTTATTTCTGTTCAGGTTATATTTGTAAAACATTACATCAACAAGCCCAAACCACTTTGGTGAAATAGATAGATTGAAAATATATACATTTTGGTCTTTGCTACTTTTGTTGCCATTTGATCCCTACCTTTTATAGACACTTGATTGAAGGAGTGGAATTTGGCCATTTGCCCTTGTTTTTTGAAGTCTAAAATGTGCTATTTGTAATGTGGACTTGGGGAATAGAAATAAATCAATGCAACTTGAACACTGTGTGGAGTTCTTAAACAGGAACTGTTATTTAGCTAAAACATCAGTCTTCTCACACCATATAATGTGCTAAAAAAGCTAATGTTTTGAAATTAGGGATTGCACACAATTAATGAAGAGTTCTGGCTGGGGTGATTAAAAGTTTTCTTGCTGCTCAGGAGTCCTTGCAGACTTTACTTCACACCTAAATTACCTGTGTGACCTAAACCTCACAGCTAAAATATCAGGCATTTCTTGGTGGTAAATAGAAGTATCTTAAGTCATTTCTCTACTGTGGAGGTGAGGGTAGTTTTACCAGCTCTGATTCTGATGTAAATGGTAAAAGGCAATAAAGTGCTGTTGAAGGAAACTGATTCAGTGATGACAGTTATAAAGAGAAGGATGTAAACTGAAACAGGAAATGGAACATAATGTGAATTGAACAGCTTTGCTATCAACCAGACAGAAAAAGTCACCTTTACTGTGCTTCATCTCAGGAGAGAAAGGCATAAAAATAAGGTATTTCATTAAAAGAGAATTAACTGAAAGTCTTCACAGATTATATGGTTACAGGTGACAGCAGAATGTCAAAGCAAGCACAGTCCATCTATGCCAAAAAGACTTAAGGAAAAACCTAAAAGGAAGCACACAAGTTACTTAACTCAAAAACCATGATTTGAAAAGCAAGTTATATCCACATAATGAAGATAGAGAGGAAGACACAGAAAGCATTATCAACTTTGACAAACTACAAATAGTTTGACAAACACCTTGCAAAAAACTATCAAGACTAATAAAAACTAATGAAAATAAAAAAGAGGTATACAGTGGCTCTCCTATTAAAAAAATCCACAGCTCTTCAGCTCAGAAAAGATAGCAGAGGTCTAGAAAAATCATGAGTGGTGTGAAGATTGATGAAGTGACAACTCTTCATCACTTCTGACAGAAGAAGCAGGAGCATTAATGAAAATAATACATGGCAAGTTGAGAAGCAGCAAAGGGAGAGAGAACTCAGTGCAGCCTGCTGTGACTGCTGGGAGTGTGTGTTGAAAATTTACAAATACACCAAGATATGCAAAGAACTCAGAGTTGCAAATTAGAATAATCTGGGGATTTTGTGTCACTACATACCCCGTTCTATGCTCTTCCCCAGATGTTTATTTCTGGTTGCTGCCAAACAAAATAATGGACTAGACAGATCTTGGTGTGACCCAGTGTAACTGTTGTTCATTTTTTGTGGCTGTGTAGTTTTAGACGTTCCCAACAACCTCTGAATTGCGATTAAGTTTAGCTGATTGGATCTCCTTGCTTTGTTCATTTGCATACTGGCTTGGTCAGTACAGCTAGGCATGATTAGTTACACATGTAACTAAATATTTTCAGCATGTCTCAAATTTTCCATACAATGTGACCTTAATGGTCTAGATCAAAAAGCATCATTAGTCCTGGTTGAGGCCTGGCACAACACAGCCAACAGTGGGCTTCAGTTGCCCCTTTTGAGTGTGTGCCCACAGCACTGTGAAACTGACAGTCTAGATCATGTTAAACAGACAAAACTAATAGATCATAGGATTTGGCTAAAGCCAACAAAACCAATGGCATCTTACTCCTCCTGATCTGGTCGGAAAAAGACCTTTCAAAAGTTAAGATAGTGAGAATTGCAGAGTAACTGATCACAAGGTAACACCCATACTCATCCTGGCATTTCATCTTCCTCCCATTAGTTCATCAGTTAAACTAAACCAGAAAGTTCTGGCTCTTAAATTGTTTGGGGTTTTTATGGATTGGAAATAAAGTATAGCAGTAAGACCACAAAAAAAAAAATCAGTATTTTGGAGAAAAATGCACTCATTACTCACTATTATGACCGCTACACTAAAGGGTCTCTGATTATTAGCAAAGACAAGACCAGAAACCCCTGTAAGATACACTGTCAGGGCAGATAACACAGATAGCTGTACCAACTACATGAGTTCTCTAGAAGCAAATGACTGCAGAGGGACTTACTAGAAATCAAATTCTAATACGATTAGTTACTTTTTCTTCTCTGTTCTCTAAACTCGAGGGGGTATATTTTTTAGGTCCTCTTCTCACCATGCAGACTGCACTGTCAGAATGAAAGAGCTAGAGGGTAAGTGCACATTACCTGCAAAACTGATTAAAGCAGAAATTTTAATTCCTTTTACAGATATCCTGCAGAGTTCTGAACTTCAGTGCTAGGACTTAGCAAATTTTCTGGAGGTGAAAGCACTTCACCTTTGCTAGTTCTAAACTGCTAATAGCATTAAAAGAACAAACAAAAAAATCCTTAAAATTATGACTGTGCAAATTTATAGGTGGGGATGGGATGGGTCAGTTTAAAGTTTAAGACACGCAAATTAACCTACATAAGTGAAGGGAGTTTAGTAGCTTTCTTGGCCACCGCAAATTTTACAGCATAAAATGATTACATCTCTGTATAATAGTAACTTCAAATATAGGCAAGTTATCACTTGATACTGAGGTGCTGAGGGAGCAGAAGTTGACCAAATGCTATAGCGTTTTCTGCTCAGAAGCGGGTCTGCATGTAAAAATGGATATACTTGTAAAATAGGGAATTGCACAATTTGAACACCGAGTATTCTAGCATCAGGTCAGTTTTCCTTCAATTTTCTGAGCAGTAGTGAACTTTTGGCCTTACAATCAGATACTACAAATCTAAAACTTTGTATTTGTACTCTTTGGTAACACAGCAACTATTTTAAAACTTCAGCTACACATGAAGTATAACAAATCCATGCGTAAGGCAGTTACCCCAATTCCATGAGGATATCTACAGTTTAACCATTCTAAACAAACTACCCAACACGGTTATTTGGGAAACAATAATTATATTTGTCCTATCATCATTAGTTTCATCATAAACTACCTCATACAAAAATCTTTGTAAACATAATAAGCACTTAGGTTCTCTTCACATATTTTCACCAAACAACACAGCCCAAAGTAAAGGTTGAACAATTTTAACGTGCTCTGTTCATGTCGTAATCTTTAGATACAATATAAACCAAGCAGTTGATAAGGGTGGCTATTTGAAGGTGAATGTCGGTTTACACAAGAAAACAGGAGTGGGCTGTATTCTGGAAGTGAAATGCACATAGTCTGAATGCTTAAACCTACAAAACATCCCAAACCCTTGATGGGGCAAGGGCTGGGGTAGTCATCTTCATTTTTCCTCTGGAGGTTCATGTTTTACCCAATCCTCAAAGCCACCAGCATATTGATGAACTCTGAAAATATACAGAAGATAGAATGTTAAGAAGGGCTTTTGAAAAAGGTGTGTGTCTAAGAGCACATGGCAAAAAAACTCCAAACCAAAACAAAAAAATCTGAGAAAAAAAAACATACAGAAATTCTCTGCAATCGAATACATTTGTACCTAGCTTCAATGAACTAGATCAACATTCCTTGTACTCTAATACTGCCGGCTTCCATGCAGTGTGTTCTGTAACTCTTTTCTTCCAAATGACACCATGCTGGAGATCAAACATCAAGCAAGTAGTATCAGCTGGATCAATGAAACATTTTGCTACTTCTTTATTTAAAATGAAAAATCAGACTTACTGCAGTGGGAGATTTACATCTTACTATGTCTAATACTTCAGATGTCATCGACTAAATGCAGCACACAGATCTTTTCCTTGCAAACCTGCATGATCTGACATAAGCCTGCACAAAACTAAACTCTGGGAAACGAAAACCCACCATGCAAAACAATACTGACTCCAATTAGTCAGCATGGAAAACAGGTAATGGAGGATATTTCACACTTATTAAAACAATGTATTTATAAAACAAGAACGTGGTTCCATACTTTTGACTAGAATTAGCAGGGATATTCCAGTTCATGAATTGCAGTTCAGCGAAAACATAAGCAACCAACCAATTTTTAAAATACTATCTGCAGTCTTCAATCCAGCGAGGCACCTTCTGGCATGCATGTAACAATTCTGCCAACCAAATGCTGGTTTTGCCTTCACTCTATCAATATAATTGTCTTTTTAGCTATTGCCTTCACTGCTTTAATCCTGGCAAACCCAATGCTTTACTGAAAGTGAAGGTGTACTTTGTCAACAGTGAACTGTAATTTAACAAAGGGTGTGGTTTCATAAACTACTTAAGAACCTACTTATACCAAAGCAAGCAGTTCTCCACCTTTCCAATCATCCTGTGTCACAGGACTAGAGCTTATGAAGCTGTACAAGGAAGCAATATCTTGGCGAGGGAGCCCTAGGATGCAGAAGGACCCTCCAGTGGCAGCATGTGTCACCTGTGCAGAGCTGCTGAAAGGTTGTTTCACAGGGTGATACACCTCACTTTGCTGTAACACCCAATGGTGTCTTTCAAGGTTCAGTGGAGACAAGAGGACGTGTCTAACTCAAATATCCGTCATTTTGCTCATACTCCACATTAAATTTTTACCCTTGCCCACGAGAAGTTGAGCATGAGTTCTGCTTCGCGGTGGGTTGCCACCTGAATCCCACCCTTATACACACGTGTCATACCTGCTGAAACCCAAGGATGTGGCAAAAGCAAGTGCTTGTTTACTTCTTTTTCCAGCCAAACAGGAAAAAACCACAGGGTCTGACTTGGATGGCATCTTTTGGTTGTACTGCTCCTTGAACTCCGCTGGGTCCATCTGTAGAGCTTCCACTAATTCACCCACTGGGAAATACATAAAAGCCTCATTTATTCTCTATCCACAGACAAGTTTACACTGTAAGGCTTCCAGTTCCTCTTGGAGGAAAAGTTTAGCCTCACAGCATACTAACAGAGCTGTCTACCACAGCTCTAGTATTTTTGCTCAGTCACTGCCACTTGTCCACAGACTTGACCATCAAGTCTCCACGTTAACAACTTACGAGGTATGTTGACAGACGCCGGGATTTTTCCAAATCTGCCGATCTCCCACCTCTCCCGCACGTCTATGTGGAGGACGTTGGTCTTCTTCAAGTCTTTGAGCTCTCGGTAGGAAAGGCTCGGCACTTCGCCGGCGCAGAGGCCACGGCTGCTGGCACCCGCCGCCCCGGGACCTGACAGAGAGGCGCAGCCCATGAGCCCGGAGCCGGCCGCCGCTCTCCCGGCCTCTCGGGGAGCGCCAGCGCCCCCAGTAACGTTTAATATAGTCACACGGGACACCCCCGGGCGCCAGCAAACCCCATCC